AGGCTTTGAAGTAAGCCTAAAAGCGTTTAACTAGAAATAGTATTTCGAAAGTTATTAAGCACAAAAGATGAATTGCGTTTATTTTGATACACACTGTAGAGCACAAGACCCCAGTATGGACAGTCCTTACCCTGACCAATCGGATCGCAAAACCCCAAAACCCCTATGGACAGTCCTTAACCTGACCAAAGGCACAAAACCCATAAGGCCAGTCCTTAACCTGAACATGGGGGGTAACCCCCCATGGACAGTCCTTAGATTTAGATATATTATGTGTGACATATTATTGAGTCTATGAGCCTGAAGTTGACATTTTATGGAGACTTCAACCCGAAGGTGAGGTGGGTGGGTGGGAAAAATTTTTTTGTTTTTGATAATGTTACTCTGTCGACAGCTCAGAGTAAATTACATTATTTTGCATGAACTCGTGCATGTTATGCGCCAATTAGGATGGGCTGTATTATGCCCTATGATTGGTCAATAAATTTGCTTAAATCATTTGTTCGTTCACTGCAACCAGGTATATCAATTATGTTTCGCTCGTGTCAAACCGAATTGCCGGAACCAACACGTAGACCTACTGGCCAAACATTTGATAAAATCGACTTGAGATATAACCAATACGTCTAATGCCATTTTCCATTCGATTTGCGTGGTGGCGTCGCTCTTCACGACCAATTAATGGTCATAATAGAGCCATTTATACGAGCGATAATAAGTCGCGGCTTTTGATTTCGCGTAAGAGGTCAATTTATTCGTAAATAAGCTCAGAGTTTGTCCAAAATAATCTGTTACTTATTGACTGTTTATACGAGTTGTTCGTGACTCATTTAGGCTGCAGCTTATTTAGGTAGAGACGTATTTAGTATAGCATGAATAAATAACATGGTCATGAAAACAGAACTTTAGACGATTTTTATAACGAAAAAGGTAGCCAGGAGCAATTTTTTTATGACACATTAACAAATATACGCGCAGCGTAGGATGTATATGCGTATGAACTGAAAACTATTTCCAGCTAGATGGTGGACGACTCAAATCATTGCTCTTTTAGCTACATGCTTCAAATGTCGGGGCTTAACTCGAGCGTCGAATATTTTCAATGGCTTCGACTTAAGCGGCCCTCTTTTTTCACGGATTATGTTATATAATTATGTTAGGGACCAGTCATAAAGTATGTGTACTGGGAAGTGGAGGGCATTCCAAAATTCTACCAGAAAATTTGGCACCCCAAAAGCGTCGGAAAATATTTAATACCCCACAGACAATCACCCTCTCCCCAAAAACACAAAATTCTAAGAACATAACTGTTTTGCAAATTATTGCAATCAATTGTCTGTATTGAAATATTTAGCGTAGTTAATAAATAGAGTGTGTACATGTTGAACATGATATCTTACGAGTGAGCGCAGCGAACAATTAAGTGAGATATCATGTTCAACACGAGAAATAAATCTGGTATTTCCAAGCACCCATGTATTTTTCTGTTTATTATATAAAGGACAGTCTTTGAAAAGCGATAATTCTTACAGAAAAGTGATAATTGAAAAGCGATAATTTTCACATGATTGTGAGATTATCATAAATAATCTCACATGTGCGATCAATTTTATCAGTGCTCGCCATCTCTATGACGCACTACACTTTTTTTTATTATGAATGTATTGTTATTATTATAAATTACAATTACAAATTACAGATCTTAAGATATATATAACAACATACCTACAAAACAAACAAGCCGTATAGTGGCGAGGAAATCCAAAATGGAAACTAAAAAGCTTATTTTGAATTTAGATTCCCTCAGGGTATAATTATATTACATTATTTCAATTAAATAACACACACATATATATATTTAGAACATTCACTATCAATCAAAACAGTTAAGTCTAAAGATCAGGATAAACATTTTATGCATGACTAGATTGAAGAAATGACAATAATTTGGACTTAAAATTGCTTGAAGAAGATGCAGTTGTAATTTCAACCGGGAGAGAATTAAAAAATTTAGGACCTTGAAATCGAACTGAAAATTGTTTTAATCTCGTTCTGCAAAATGGTATTCTGAGACTTTTGGCACTCCTTAAACTTCTTTTAAGGCCGAACATTTGTTCATTAGATACAAACATATCTTTAAAATTGTCCGGAAGAGTATTGTTTTTCCATGAAAAAACAAATTGACCCAACTGAAGTTTACAAATGTCATGGAATTTTAACAGTTTGAGTTCTTTAAAGAAGGGATCGGTATGAGAACCAAACTTACCATTACTTAGTATTCTAACAATCCGTTTTTGCAGAATAACAATGCGATTAAGATTTGATGGGTAGGTTGAAGCCCAAACAATATTACAATATTGAAGATAGGGATAAACAAATGTATAATATAACATTTTTAATGATGATTTAAGAAGGTAGAAGCTAGTTCTGAAAATAATTCCGATAGATTTAGCGATCTTACTTGATATATGGGAAATATGAGATTTCCAGGAAAAGTTTTCGTCAAGTATAACTCCCAAAAATGAAGTTTCTTGGACCTGATTTATTTGTTGATTATCAATAAATAACTCAGCAGTCATATTTTGGCGCTTTTGTCTAGGTTTAAATAAGATGTATTTTGTTTTCACCAAATTCAAAGTCAGTTTATTAACCCTGAGCCAATCCGACAGTTTGTCAATTTCAGCATTAAGAGAATTAACTAAATATTCAAAGTTTTCATGTGAATAAAAAACATTAGTGTCATCCGCAAACAGAATTAGTTCGAGTGTTTTAGAGACATTACATATATCATTTATATAGATTAAGAAAAACAGTGGGCCTAAAATTGAACCTTGAGGAACCCCACAGCATATTTTTTTTTAAATCAGAACAATGATTATTATATTGTACAAATTGGTTCCTGTTACAAAAGTAACTTTTTATCCAATCCAGAGTATAGTTCCACGAAATCCATAATGTTCAAGTTTGTTGAACAGAATCTCATGGTCAACTGTATCAAAAGCTTTCGAAAGGTCTAAAAAAATTCCAATGGCAAATTTCTTTTCATCAATTGCAGAAGAAATTTTATCAAATAATTGAATCAAAGCCATTGATGTAGAATGGCCTCTTCTAAAACCATACTGCTGGTGATAGATAATATTATATTTATCTAAGTAACTAATCATTCTATAATATATGATCCTTTCCAAAATCTTAGAAAACGCGGGTAAAACAGATATAGGTCTATAGTTATTAAATTGTAAACGATCATTTGATTTATAAATTGGAACAACTCGGGCAATTTTCATCTGATCAGGAACAATCCCATTGTTTATTGAAAGATTAATTATGTGTGTCAAAGGTTCGGCAATCAGGTCTATGGATTGTTTTATGATATTAGTTGGAATATTATCATAGCCCGCAGCAGAATCTGATTTAAAGCTTCTAACAATATTTACTATTTCATCCTTCGAAGCTGGGCTGAAAAACACCGAATGTGGAAAATTTTCATTAAGGTAGTTGAGAGGAGAACCGGGTGTGTTAGGAATCTTTTTAGCTAAATTAGGGCCAATGCTCGAAAAGTACTGACAAAATTTATTTGCTATCAACGCAGGATCGGTGATATCCGTATTATCACATACAAATAAATTAGAGGTTTTTGGTTTTGACTGTTTCTTATTAAGAATTTTATTCAAAATTTTCCAGGTAGTCTTGATATTAGACCTAGAAATTGTTAGTTGCTGTTCATAGTATAATCGTTTGGCAATTCGAATAGAATGATTGAGCTTATTCTTATAGGTCTTATATTGTGATTCATTTTCAATTAACGGAAAACGAATATACTTCCTATAAAGTTTATTTTTGTGTTTTACGGACTTGAGAAGACCTATAGATAACCAAGGTTTGTAATCATGTTTATTTACTCTTATTTTTTTAAGGGAAAGCAATCATTATACGCTACATTACATTAAATTGAAATCCCCCATTAAATAACAAGATTTGTTTTCTCTAGAGATTTGTATAGGATAATTCATTATAATTCTTTAGAAATACATCAATGTTATGGTCTGGTGCTCGATATACAACACCCACAATGGTATTCCCTCTAGGTTTTATAATCTCAATAAACGTTGATTCAGCAGTTGTGTCATCATCAAATGTTAAATCAGGACGTAATTTAAATTGGAGATTATTAGATATGTACAAGCCTGTACCACCTCCGCGTCTGTTATTACATCGATTATGAATAAATGTATACCCGTCAATGTCCACTAAATGCGACGATTCTTTTAGCCAAGTCTCAGTGATACCAATGATTGAAAACTGCATATCAATATTATTAAGAAAGTCAGTTAAATGAGATAAATGGAATAGATGGTTAAGTGAAAAATTGAAAAGATAGAGATATGTTGGGTTTCCTTACTAGGGAGTTTGAGCAAGAGAACGAAGTCGGACGACGACGACGTGTTGACAATTTTTTCCTGCCTTGAACATTATCTTGCGTATTCTAAGTTTAGGGTCAGAAGTGAAGACAGATTAGAGATTAACGCGTCTAGCTGTTTATCAATGTTGACCCAAATCCTTACCCTGATCAGGATAAAACAGCGAGACATGAATCCATATCCCGTCTTCGTTCTTCTGCCTTCGTTCACAACGAATATTTTGGCAAAATTCGTTGTTAACTTCGTTCCGAACGAAGGCACAAGAACAAAGACGGGATATATAGGTTCATGTCTCGCTGTTTATTCTGGATCAGGGCAAGAATTATGGTCAGTATTCATAAACAACGACACATAGGACACGTTGAGCAAACACCAGTGACGTCCAACACAGTATGCACAAGAGGATGTGCAGACGACAAAAATTGTCAAGTATGCCTTCGTCTTCGTATTTCGTTGTCTTGCTCAAACTCTCTACTGTTCAATTCATCTTCAACATAATAGCGATTGTGACCTATATCTGGCAAATAAAAATTTGCATCAGGATCCAACTCAGAAGACAAAGCAAGGTTTTGATTGATAGTGCATGCGAACGGGTTATAGCTCAACAAAGTTAATTTATCAAAATCATAATTAAGCCATGATCAAGTTCATAAATATAAGTCTGAAAACTGTTCTCATCAAGGCTAGCAAATGGTAGTTCATTTAAAGAATTAGAAGTCATTATTTCTAAGCTAATTCAACTAAGACAACAACGATATACATACACTAGATTATCCATCAGAGTGCTGTAGGTGATCGTCATCCCGTGGGCGAGTAATAAGCTTATCATAGATAGCGAAGAAACGCAATCATGTTATTTCGCCTTGCCTCATACATTTGTGGCATCAATTCTCGACGCTTTTCTTGAATTTTGTCGGAAAAATCTTCTCTGACATATATGTTACTACCCTTCAGCAAGCTTTTCTTACCTAGAATTAGTTCGCGTGTCTTGAAACTTTGGAATTTCACAATTGCTGTGCGAGGTCTGTTTGTGGATTGTCTAGCTCGGCCAACCCGATGAGCTCTTTCAATAGTAAACTCGTCCGTTTTGATTTGCAATCTTTCTACAAGGATTTGTTTGACTTTATTTTCAGTGGCCAACCAAGATTCTTTTGGCTCTTCTGGTATACCATCAAAACATAAGTTGTTGCGGCGTGAACGATTCTCCAGGTCATCTACCTTCGTTTCAAATTGCTTTAAATCATTGTTAATATTATTAAGATTTGCACCGATATCAGCAAGTTGCGAACCAATTTCCTTCGCTTGTTCTTTAGATTGATTTGATGTTAGATCATTTGACTTAACAAGTACTTCGACTTGAGCTTGTGAGAACTCTAAGCTTGTCTTCAGGTCTTGAACTTCTCGAATGAGATTATCAAATCTCTTGGTGGTATTTTCAATATGTGCTTGAAAAAACCTCATCGTTGTGTCTTCTTGTACTTTTAGAAGCTCTTTAACCATATTGAGAGAAATTAGATCTTCTTCTTGACCTTGAGAACTTAATTTTTTTGCGGAGCTTGATTTCGAACGTGTTGTCGCCATCTTTGACAGGATTTGTTGTACTTGGAATAAGGTAGGATTTAACTGTGCAATGTGGGATTTAAATGTGATTGAACTGTGCAATTTACCCTTGCACATGCTGCCAAATGCTAGTTATACTGCCTGATTTATTTTAGAGAAACTGTCGTTCCATGTCAGTCTATCAAGGACATTCTGAAAGGCCATATCAATGGTGTAATGTCTCCAGAAGAAGGGAGAAATTATGTGAATGTTCGACGAGGACATGTCCTAGAAGATGCTGTAGCCAAGATTCAGAAGAAGAAATTCAACCCTAAACTTCCAATCTCTGTTAAGTTCGCTGATGATGAAGGCAACAGCGAAGGAGCTGTTGATACGGGTGGGCCGACCAGAGAGTTCTTTCGTTTGGTGACAAAGGAAATGTTTAGGAAAAGCAGCATGTTTGGGGGAGCAGATCATGGAAACAAAGTGCTCATCCACAATATCCAAGGTATATTTTGTAATTTGAATATACTACCTGTATTGTAAATGGCAGGCATG